ATAGGAGAAACAACGTAAGGATTGAAAGGCCCTATTATAGTTTCATTTTCATAATTTGAAACATATTCTTTAGAACATTTTGAATGAGAAAATCATAGTTGTATTATGGTTGAAGTTGAAGCAATTGTGTATGGCTAAGAATCTAACTAGCAAATTACACTTGACACAGCGTTTGTTTTATCGATACATCCTTAGAAAATCACCTTGCTGTTTTTAAAGAAATTGTTGCTGATTTAGAAAGTTTGGGGGTTAAGTATGATGAAGAGGATTTGGGTTTGATTCTATTGTGTTTGTTTCCCACTTCATATATATCATAAAGAAATACGATATTACATTGTTGTGATATTCTCACCGTTGAAGAGGTATATGATGCTTTGTTTTCAAATAAGAAGATGATGCATTTTGTTGGATCTGAGGCTTAAGGAGAATGCCTTGTTGTTCATAATGGTGATATATAATGCCTTGTTCTTCTTGTAACTATTGCAAAAAGAAAGGGCACATAAAGAAGGGCAGTTAGAACACTTGATGCAATGAGACACAATTCAAATTTGAAGATAAATATTATCTTCTTGACCACTCTTGATTCAAAATAGTACAAGTTTATTGGTGAGGGTATAGTCTTGAAGGTTTCTAAAGGTGCCCATATTATACTGGAGGGGCAATGAATGTCCTTGTTGTATGTCTTACAAGGTTGAACAAAATCTTTAAAGATCAATCACCAAAGGTTTAGTACTTTAGTGGATATCCAGTTTAGTACACTACTATTGGAATTTGATTTGGGGTCCGTGTTGAATAATACATCTCTGGCAATTTAGAGGTTATAGATAATGCCACTTTAACATCACCACTAGTTGTGCCATCATATTCAATTGCTAGAGTCTGATTCAGAAGAAATATTAGGCCTCCATATAGGTACGATGAAATTGATTTAGTTGCGTATGCTTTAAGTGTGGTTGAAGGTGTTAAATCTGGCAAATAACCTTCCACAAAAGCATTGTGGTGTTGATTTTGTTTCAGGGCGTGGTTTTGCCTATTTGATGATTGTTGATTTATTTTGTAATTTTGTTGCTTGTGTTGATAATTCAAGGTACGTATATTGAACGATGCTTGGATTCATTTATCCTAATTGGATTTTGTGGAAGGGGTGGAGATTTTTGTTCGTTAGAGAGTTCGATCGATGTTCTTATTGAATAGTTCAATTTTTGACGTTGTAGTAGAATCTATCTCCAGGTAGGAAGTTTTGAAGTTTGTTTATTGCATCGAAATTTGGTTCAAGGTGGAGATTTGTTAAAATTTAATCCAAATTCCATTTAGTATATTGTGAATTTGTTGGATTGGGCTTTGAAGAGGTCGAAATATGAACCAAGAAGGAAAAGTCATCACTACGCATGCTTGCTTCCGCTCAAACTCGAAAAACAGAAAGCTGGCTCCCACCTACCATTCAAGTGGTGGCCCGACCACCTGCTTCCCACCAGGGGATGCTCGAGCCACAGGCTATTCCTTCCCATGATTCGTTTCTCCTTGTGACATTTTTTAAAATATTATTTTCATTTTTAGGACTCTTATCAGGGTTTGATATGTATCCATATAGATAGTTAGCTCTTTTTCATAATTAAAACAAGTTAGAGCATATAGAAAACACATCTTTATATTCTTTCTCCATATTATCGTGAATTCTCCTTTCCTTTGCCAATTTCTTATGTTCTTTTTGTATTATGATCGATACTTCATATTTTGTCATATAACCTCCTTATTCTCAAACTAGTGGTGTTAGCGCATATAACTACTTGGTTAGATTTGTTAACATTATCATCAACCAAGATATATTGCAGTAAGCAGAATCACTCTTCATTTTTATTACGTTGATTACTTCACTAAAACAAAAGAATATTAATATGTAACTTACAAAAATATGGCGGTGTTATATCTTTCACATCTAACTTACGGGGAGGTATTAATAAAAAATATTACATAACTGCAATTCCTCATTATATAGACCTACCAAGAGGAATGTAAAAAACATAATTGTTTTTATAATAATTGAGTTTTCTCATAATGTTAATAATATATTTAATTCTATTATGACAATTATTAAAGTATGCTATTGTGAAATTAAAATTCGTAATTTTACTTTTGATATTACAACTGTTAATAAACTTGTAGTTGATAAACTATGTTGAACTCTTAATCCAGATTTTGGTTATTTTTTATTTAATATTTGTTGAGTATGTTATATATTTAATTTAATTATATAAGATGGAATAAAACATATTATCATACATATTAGTAGAATTATGGACGCTCTAATATATATTATAGTATCCCATAGTACCTCTTACTAAAATCTTGTAAAGAATATGAACCACTTAATACTGAATTTTAGAACTCTAACATACACTTGATTTAGATGATGATTTACAAGATTATGATTGAAAACTTTCTTTTAAAAGAAATTGTTTGACAATTTTTTATGATGCTATCAATGTATTATTAGGGATGTATTATCATACTAATCCCAAAGTTTTTGAACATCTTTATCATATTGCATTGACTTTCAGTGAATATAAAATTGATCTCAATTTTAGTAATATATTATTACAAGGAAAACATAATTTAGAAAATATTGAGAAAATTTATCTATATTATTTCCTTTAATTTTTTTTTATTTTTTTTTATTTTTGCAAAATTGACTTAGAGATAATTTAAAAAGTACATGAATATAACAAAAAATTTAAAATACATTAAAAGATTTTGATGCTCCAATTACATATTATTAGAGAGTATTGAAATGTGTGAATTGTAACAAATATTCTCTTCGTCCTATAAAGATAAGCTTGTTTTCATTTTTACAAAAATTAAGAGAATGTAATTTATATAGTTGGAGATATAATTTTTCTTACATTTTTCATAATATACCAATACATTAAATAATAGTAGTAGTTCATATATGTTGATAACAAGATACATTAAATGGGAACATATTAAAAAATAAACTATTATACACCTTGATTTACACTTCTTGTGTTAAAAATATGATAACTGATTGAAAAGTGTTTAATAAAATCAATACACCAAAATCTGTCAACTCACATAGATGCAAACATTGATATACACATATCACGGTTGCATGTGAAGTACATGTAGAATTAACTAGATATTTTTCTCATCTTATGCTTAAAACCACCGATGCAATGGTTGTAAGTATTATGCCCTAGGTCCAATCGACTTTGGACATAAATACTTTTATATATAATTAATGCAATTAAATGGCAGATCTATTATTTAATTAATAGACAATTAAATAAATAATAGAGTCCGTAGATTCAAATATTTGTAATTTATTAATCACAAGGAGTTGTGATTGTGAGATACAAATTACATCTGATTGAATCTTAAATCATCCGTGGTCGTAAGTAATAACGAGATACGGATATCGTTATTACGGATAGACCATCACGTGTGGCATTTCTTACTTGTGAAGTAAGTGGCTGATCTCACAAGTTAAAGTGTGGTGACACTTAAATGAACACGTGGATGTTTGTTATAGAACAAAACATTGGAGACCCGTCGAGAGATTCCACATGGATAACTATCTGAGTGTCGGTGGTTAATCTCTAACGTTCGGTAGTGAAATTGGTCCTTTGACTTGAGGTCGTCATGGTACCTTATATGAGGACAGTCATACTTTGGCGGTGTTGGATGTTGCTCTGAAAAGGGCCGCTAATACGACATTGTTCGGGTACGTCAAGAATCGTATGAAAGTTGTATTTGGGTTTATATAAATACATAACTAGGGTTTGAGGTCCATTAAGGTTTTCATTATTCTTGCTAGCACAAGAGAAAACCCTAGAGGCTGCAATCAAATTCTCTGTGTGGATCACCGTTGGAGGCTGGACAATTGGACAGCTGTGGTGGCGAATCAAAGTTGTGGAACGAAAAGAAAAGCAAAAGGATTGCAGATCTGGAAAAGGTACAATCCTATCACAATTCCTAACCAAACACAATGAGATCTATTGGATGGGAATCGAAATATATTTTAAATTCCGCTGTGCATGTATAAGTAGATTCCCAACAATGGTAATAGACTTACTTGATTTTTGGAGAAGCCACGAACGTCAATATCATGTAATTTACATCATGGCATGTGATCTATTAACACTTTGGATTAGCACCGTAGCATCCGAATATGTTTAAAGTACAACTGGGTTAATTTTGTCTCAGTTTAGTTCATGACTCATATTTCAGTTTTGATTTTTTGGTTCATTTTCAATTTTCTGTTCCGAGAGTCTGTCTTAAAATTATTAAAAACGTGTTAGGTTTGTCATTTAAAAAATTAGAAAACATGTTTGGTTTGTCATTTTTTTTTGAAATTTTAATTTTATTAATTCATATTTTAATTTTTATTATAATACTCATTTTCATGTTTTGATTGTTTTCAAAAATTTTCGTTGAACACACTCAAAAAGTAAAAAAAAAATGCAAGTTTTATGTTTATAAGTTTGATCTTCTATTCGAAATTATATTTTTAAAAATATCAAACAAAAAATGTTTGTAGTGTTCTTTAAAACAGAAAACTGAAAGCAATTTGAAAATAGCACATCGATCACACACAACTAGGTAGCCGATTTTCAATATTGAAGGAAAAAAAAAATAAAAAAAAATAGAGGGCTCGTGGACGACCTCCGCCCGTGCTAGGTCGAGCCGAGCTCATGTGGGTGCCATCCGAATCTACACC